CCCGCAGAGCCCGAGTCCGTGGGCCAACATCCCGGGCGCGGGGTTTGCCTTACATGTTAATTCCAGGCATGCCGGGGCCTAGGGAGTTGGGTGGAGGTCTCATGCCGCTGCCGTAGTTCTGCAACGATAACCAAGGGGTCAGTCTACCGAACCGGGAAGGGGAACCGCAGGAGAGAAGAGAAGAGGGGGAAGACAAAAACAACAATGAAAAAGCCAAGAGGGTTAGTTTGCAAAAATAAGCTTTAAAAAGAAAATTAGATGACGAATGTGGAGGCAATTAGTAGTTGTGTTTATAAAAAACAGGCGGCTGAGTAGGGAAGGGAGCCAGGCTGAGCCCCAAAGTCCCCCCTAGCCCCTGATGCTGTGCTGGTGGAGAGAAAACAGCCCCCTTCCAGCTCCGGGTCACAAATCCACATCCCTGGGCACCAACAAGAGCCTTCTGGGCTTGTCCTTTTTGTGCAGGAGAAAACAGGGACAGAAGGAGGAAAGAAGGTGCTGCCTGAGGATGCGGAAAGGCTGCACGAGCTCCCCCTGAGAGGGAGCATCCCCTGCTCCCAGGATGACAGCGGGAGTAGGGAAAACCAAGCCAGGCTGGTTGTTGCTTTCCAGCGCTTTGCTATGTCCCCCGGAATGGGTCGGCAGCCGTGGGGAGTGGGTGAGGGTAGGCAGCCCCTCAGGGCTCCTCTCCTGCCTCGTTCCAGCCCGGCCTCCAGCTGCATCCCTCATCCCCTAAAACCAGCTCCAGTACAAAGCCAAGCCCAAGGCAGGGAAGGAAGAGGAATCCCTCGAATGCCGCGCTCCATTTGGCCTGCGCTTTGCTCCCTGTGCCCTCCGGGCAACGCGCAGCCGGATTTAGGTCACGCTGCTGCTCCTCCCTCCCAGCATCTTTTTGGGCTGTATTTCTGCCATTTAGAAAAAAAACTGCTAGGGCAGGAGGGGGGAAGGCTGGCTGTTTCCTATTCCACATCCCCTAGGAATGCTCCAATCTGGATTTTCAGCGCAATACTTCAGCGCCGTCGATGTTTCCTTGGCTTTATGGATGCACCGGAGCGCGGTGCTCTGCTGAGGGCATCGCCGAAGTTTGTTTTGAAGAGGCAGAAAAGGGTTTTCCCCAAACAAATTACAGGCAAGTCCTTAATTGATTGAAATTCCAGCTATTTACACTGAATCAAACCCCTTGTTTAGAAAAAAAAAAATAAAAAGAGCTCAGCGTTTTTAATTGGAGCTGAAAGGCTGGAAAACGGAGCCATCTGAGCGATGCTGAGGGAGGGTGGGGAGGGAATGCAGCTGTGCCGAGCGACCCGGATGCCGGGCTCCGATGCTGCCGAAACCCAGGGAGCTACAAACCCTCTTTGAAGAGGCACTGGCAAACCTAATCCTGGCCTCTGCAGAGCTAAAAGTGCGACTATTAAAGGGAAAAAGGCATCAGAGTCGGCTGTAAGGGATGATTCATCGGTGGTGCGTACGAAGTAGCTGTTGTCAGGATGTTGGGATGTCCTGTCCGACTGCTCTGCAGCCCTTTGGGATAATTTAAGGAGTATTTGGGAAGGTCCTGATGCAAAGCTTAAAGAAAACGCCAAGTCCCGGGCACAGGAGGTGTGAGGTTTGGTTCGGTATTTCTGGTGGTTGCCTGCGCTCGCTCCTGGATGGCTGCGGGGACGCAGCACCCCGGGGGTGCCAGATTGGGAAGCCCAGGGAAAAGGCTGCCTTTTAAAACAGCTTCTCCCTAACGTACGTAGACAGGGAACGGCAGAGTCAAAAATAAAGCTCTGAACGTTTGACAAGTCCCGCCGGCTCCCAGAGCCGCCGCCATCCCACGCGGCGCCGAACGCGCGCTCGCCGCTTCCAAGTTTCACGGCGAGCTCTGCAAGTGGGAAGCGAGCAGCCTCCCCCGGGCAAACCGCCGCCGCTCTCCTTGGCACAGGCCACGCTAACAAATGCCATTTATTTTTGGGTGCGATCCTCCAGGATCGGAGGATTTTAAGCAGAGCAGCGGCGCTGTCAGAGAGCTCGTCCGTGAAACGACGCTCGTGCAGGGCTTTTATCCCCTCCAGGTGCCTATGGAGATGGCCGGGCATCCCTGAGCAGCATCCTCGGGCTGGTGTTAAAACGAGATGACACAACTCCCTCTCCACACAATATTCGCTTATCTCAACAGTCTCTGGGGGAAAAACAAAACAAAACTCCAGCGCGCCCGCTCGTCTCTTGACAGACTCTGATCCTCGCGCTACACACTCGACGTAGGCGACGATGCAGAGAGGATAAACCTCCAACCAAAATATGGTAATCTGGGTTTGAAGTCTCGTAGAAGGAACAAACAGGAGTGAGTCAACAACAAGCCGCTCCGTAACGTGAATCAAGGGAAAGGCAGCATATATTAACCCAGATCTGCTTAATTTCACGAGTTTACTCCCCTTTCCTGAAATAGAGAGCTCAAGCAGGAAGGGCAGGCGGCGGGGAACCTCGCAGAGGGAAGCCTTATTCCCCTGCTAAAGGGATCTTTGCCATTTCTTCCTATTTATTTATTTTTAATGCAAGTCTCCTTTCTCTTTCCTGCTGTTAGGGTCGTAACCATCTCCCAGGCAGGCAATGTAATGCACTCAAAGGCTGCTCCGGCGCGGGGCTAAGTGCCATCCCCTTTGACGGAAGGGCAGGAGGGAGGCTGCAATACCCTTAATGAGCTCTGAAGACCTCATTCCTATTAAAAGGAGGGATTTCCAGATGCAAGACTAATGTAAAACGCATTAAGGCTAATGGGGGGACGGGGTGTGGAGGGGGGGAACTCCCAGCCCTTGGAACCCCAGGAGGTTGTTTCGCTGGTGCGCGGTGCCGTAAGATGCTCTTTGGGCGCTGGGCTTACCTGTGGACCGGGACCCATGGGGCCCATCCCTCGCGGAGGATTCATCCTTTGCATGGGGCCGCCCATGTTCGGGTGCCCTGTTGGGGGGAAAAGCAGGGGCGTTACAGGGCACAGCAGCCACTCCGGGGCCCAAATGAACAGCTAACGAGGAACGTTTAACGTTCAACCCTCCCTCGGCTGGGTTTACCTTGCTGTCGCGTGGGATCCATGGAATTGGGCAGCAATGGCTGTGTACCGGGAACGGCACCCGGGGGCTGTGAAAACAAGGGCAGGAAGGTTTCAAAACATAAATTGCTAAAATTCAGCCTACAGAGATAGATTTGGGTTGAGGCTTTAGAGGGGTTCCTTGGTGCGCTCCTCGGGAGGCACCGCCTTTCCTACCGCAGCACGACCTACGGCTGCCCCGGCATCCTGCATCTCACTGCATCCCACATCCCGGGCATCTTCCCACAGCCTCCAGGCGTTTGCCTCCCCTTTCCTTTCGCAAACACCCTCTAAAAACCAAACAAGGCGTTTCCGCCTCTCCCCGCAGCCTGTGTGCTGTCAGGCTGCTGGATTTCAGAGGAGCAGGGGAAAGCAGACCAGCATCCAGGGCTGTCCCCACACAGGCAGGAGGGGAAGGCGGATGCTCTCCCTCCCCAAACCCAGCTCCGAACAGATAAAGGGGAGAAAACCGCAGACACCATCTGCCCGGGGGAAGCAAACCATACACCGTTCTGCTACAGTGCTGCCTGCGTCTGACTGCGGAGCCGGAGAGACCCCGCGGCTGGAGCCCAGCTCCGCAACCTGAACCTGCCCTATCCCAGTTCTTTTGCAGCTTGGAAGCTGGCAGCAGGAGGAAGATAAAGCAGAGGGATTGTAGCGATGGATATTTACACTTCTGCTGCCTGACCTTCCTGCCTACCCATTTATGGCTCTCGTCCCTCTGGATGTGACCATAACCTCGTCGAGCTCTGGGCAGGCACAAACGTGCCTTCTGTACGTGATGGTTGGGGGAAAAAATGAAATCCTTCCGATTAACTTTCCCTGCTCCCGGATGCTTGATTCGTCTGCAAGGGCAGCCACCCCAAACCGGTCCCCTGCCTCTCCTGCCTGCCCCAGCTCACCTCACTCCCCTCCAGCGGGGCTTAGGACCAGCCTGGGGACCACAGCAGGATGGGGTCCGGTTAAAACTGTCCCGTGAGGAGGTGCAGTTCATGAATACCTCGCTAAAGCAGCCACCAGCACCCTGGCTGGGAGGCTCCTGCATCCCAGCTAGGCTTGTGGGTCCTTTATCAGTCCCCCTTGAGTGTTTCTCAGCTGTCTCACTGTCATTCTGCAAGTTCCAGCGATTCAAGGCTCAAACCCAGCAATCACAAACACAGAGCAAGCTGCTACATCCCATTTCCTGACTGTTCTGCTCTTTCTGCTAATAACAGCTATATAAAGATAACACTGTTAGCCAAAAAAACCCAAGCTCCCAAGACAATTTGTGCACAATCACCTCTGCTACTCCAAGGAATTACAGGTTTCCTTTCATTTGCCTTCAATGACAAGTGACCTCTGGTTCGGTCACTACCCTGTGGATCCGCATGGCATCCCAAGACGAATTCCTCAAGCAAAGGCCACGCGTTCAGGCAGCGCGTGGGGTGGAAGCCTCCGTCCGCGAGGCCAGAAACAAACTGCCCTTGTTTAAGCTGGGATAAGAGGATAAAACCCAACCCCAAAAACTCAGCAGTGACCTGCCCGGCTTGACCCCACTGCTGATCTAAGCGCTCGGTCAACCCAGCAGCAGGATTATCTCCATCACTTTAATTTTCTGCGATTGCAGGGAAAATCCAGGCAGGCAGCGAGCCCGTGGCATGGCACGGCCATGCTGGAAACACCGCGCATCCAAAAATTAAAATAAAGCGGTCACGTGACACTTGATGCTCCGGCACCAAGGAAACTGAGGATGCCCGAGGGAGGCGACGCTTGCCGTCCAAACCCCAAGGAGCATCCGCAGGACACGTGGCCCTTGTCCCCCTCCCCAATTAAAAGCCACCCCCCGGAAACCCGTCGTCGGGAGCGCAGTACCTGGTTGCCCATCCTGATGGGGGGCCGGGGACCTCCGGCGTAGCGCGGCGACATGAACGGCTGCGGGGACACAAAAGGGGGGTCAGCGGCGAGCTGCGGGGAGGCAGCACGCTCCCCACGCACGCCGGCTAGACTGTACACACTGCTTTTGGTTGTGGGTTTGTTTTTTTTTTTTTTTGGAGACATCCTTTTTAAAAAAGGTAAGTTTCAAAAGAAAAATAAAAAAAAGAAACAACAAAAAAAACAACAAAAAAAGATGTCCGGAGTCCGTTTTTAACATTTTCTCTGTAGATTTATTGTTTTGAGAGCGTTTGACATCAGCAATACTAGGTGAGGCTGTTAAAATTAGTGCATGGGAAACCCTGAGTGTTAGATACTGTTCAAGTTTAAATATATATATTAAAAAAAAGTGGCAAATAAGCACATACAGACACGCACACACAAAAAAAAAAACAACCCAATGCTAAGTACTGGAAAAAAAAAGACTTAAAGTTACTTTTTTTTACAACTGCTGCTACTAACGGAAGCTTAAAAACCCACATCAAGTTATATTTCTCAGGCTACCTTGGGAAGGTAAAACAGTCTGAAACCCACGATTGACTTCTCAGTCCATTAACTGCACATCCAAAAAAAAAAAAGGAAAAAAAAAAAGGGAAAAAAACC